AACCCCTGAACCCCTAAACGGATTTACTCTGACTCCGGATCTTTGCATCTGCTGACGTTTCCACCTTGGCTCGGATCATCTCCCAGGAGCGGCTGCTCCAACTTCGCCTGCTTTGGGGTGTTATAGGGCTTATAGGGGTATAGGGCTTATAGGGGTTTAGGGCTTATAGAGTTATAGGGTTTAGGGCTTAGGGTTTAGGGTGTATAGGGTTAAGGGTTTAGGGCTTATAGGGTTAAGGGTTTAGGGCTTATAGGGTTAAGGGTTTAGGGCTTAGGGCTTATAGGGTTTAGGGTTTAGGGTTAAGGGCCCTACAAGCCTTAAACCCTATACACCCTAAACCCCTCATCCTAAACCCTGAAGTTTAGGGGTTTAGGGCTTATAGGGTTTAGGGGTTATAGAGTTATAGGGTTTAGGGCTTAGGGTTTAGGGTGTATAGGGTTTAGGGTTTAGGGCTTTCAGGGTTTGGGGCTTATAGGGTTTACGGGTTTAGGGAAGTTTAGGGTTTAGGGTGTTAGGCTTTTTCTCAAAAGTCGCCTCGAGAAGATAACAAGAGATTGTTGAGCGGGTGTTTGTCAGGGTGTTGTTATCGGGCTCTAAAGAGTGAAAGAGTTCTACCCTAAGGGTCCATGTACCCAAATAGATATACTTTGGCCTTCAAGTAGTCCCCATTTGGTACTTTGGGGCCAACGTATATCCCTTTGGCTACATGGACCCTCAGGGCTATAGATTGTTCAAGGGCCCTATCAAGATTTTCGCAGGGCTTTAGGTGGCTATGAAGAGGGTGACCCTACCCAGGGGTACATCAGAAATCCAGAGCCGCTCCGGGCTCTACGGAGTGTGGCTAGTGGAGGTTACAGGTATCTTAGGGTTTAGGGGTTTAGGGATTTAGGGTTGCGTGTCGCATTCAGAAATTCAGGGCTTTCCCAAGGCTCCATGCTCAGAACGAAGCAGCGATGCATGCGCATACCTCCGCGTTTGTGAATCTCTACACTGGGATCGACGTTGATCCCCAAATCAATACGCGGGCTGATCGTACAGGATCCAGGAATTGACGTTTCTAGGGTTGGAGAGCGCTAGAAATAGGATTTCGGCGTATACATACATGTATGTGACTCTGATGTATATGGTCGACAACGGGATGATACCAGACCCCTACAAAGGGAACTCTGTAAAAAACACAATTATCCGCCCATAAAGCCCTGTTAACCTTCTTCAATACCCTAGGAAGCAACCCCTGTAATCCCAACTAATATAGGGGCCCTTAATAATCATAATAAGGTTTTGGGGCCCATTCCACTACATATACTTCTAACAAGGACCCCCCAAAATAGCATTGGTAAAAGTTAGGCCCCAGCCCTAAAGCCCTAAACTCTAGCCCCTAAACCCTAGACCCTAAACCCCTAAACCCTAACCTCAAATCCTAAACCCCTAAACCCCTAAACCCCGAAACCCCTAAACCATAAACCCCTGAACCCTAAACCCCTACACCCTGAACCCCTAAACCCTATAAACCCTAAACCCGATGATACCAGATTCCTCAATTTCAACCCATATAGCCCTGTTAACCTTTTTTAACACCCTAGGAAGCAACCCCTGTAATGCCAACTAATATTGGGGGCCCTTAATAATCAGAATAGGGTTTTGGGGCCCATTATATCATACTATAATTCGAACAAGGAAACCCCCAAATAATACTTGTAATTATGTAGGCCCCAACCCTAACCCCCTAATCCCTAACCCCTAAACCCTAACCCCTAAACCCTACACCCCAAACCCCTAAACCAATAACCCCTAAACCCAAACCCATAAACCCCGAAACCCTAAACCCCTATAAACCCCTAAACCCTATAACCCTAAACCCCTCAACCCCCAAACGCGAAAAGCCCTAAACCCCGAAACCTCCAAACCGCCTTTGTCCTTTTGGTTGTGACCGGAGGCGGAAGGGCGGTGGAGTCGCTGCTGCACTCGGACCTATGGGAGGTTTAGGGTTTACGGGTTTAGGGGTTTAGGGGTTTAGGGGTTTAGGGTCTAGGGTTTAGGTTTTAGGGTCTAGGGTGTAGGGTTTAGGGTCTAGGGTCCAGGGTCTAGGGCTTTAGGGTTCAGGGTTTAGGGTGCAGAGTTTAGGGTTTAGGGTCCAGGGTTTAGGGTCTAGGGTTTAGGGTCCAGGTCTAGGGGTCCATAGGAGTTTAGGGTCTAGGGTTTTCGTTTGTCGTTTCACCGGGCTGCAATAATTCAATAGGGCTTGGTCTTCCTTAGGAAGCAGCTAATCACAGGGGGTTTGTGGTGGTTTACATACGGCTAGCTCGGAAGGGCTTACTGCGGAGATCCTCCTACCCATAGGCTCCTAGGTAGTTCCTTTTTTCTGTGGTTTTTTTTTCTTGTGGAATCCTATAAGGTAAGCCCAAAAAGGAACTACTTAGGGGCCCATGGGTAGAGGCTTCGTGAAGTTCCTGAAAGGGTTTTGCACTACGGGCTCCAGGATGTGGCCATGAACCTCAAAGCCCCGAGGAGAGGTTTCATCGTAATATCGGGGCCTTCATGTTCAAGGTGAGTTTTGGCGCACCTTTATAGCCATACTTATAATAAGGGACGCCAAGGAATAATATTGGTATGCTTTAGTCTCCTATATTACACTATATTACATTCATTACACTTATATATTACACTTATTACACATATATTGGGGGAACCCTGAGGCACAGTCCACATTCCACACTTTCCGGCCGCAGGCCTTCTGACGACGTCGGAGTTTACAGGTTCGTGGTGAAGACGTGGGATGAAGGTTTTTTGAGTGACGGGCATCCTGAAACCACCATAGTT